TAGTCTATTTCACAATAGTGAAGCAAGCCAACAATTAGTATAACTCACCCTTAGCAATCAAAATACACCAATATTTACCTTCTACACAGATGGATCAGTATTAGAAATTGGCACCAGCAAATGCTCAATGAGGGTTGGCTGGGTACAAGTCTACAACAACCAAGTTGTCAATAGCTTCTTAGCAAAGATTACAAACTGGCCATCATCTTACAAAGCAGAGCTTGTAGTAATTCTATCAGCCATCTCTACACTACCACGAAATACTAAAGTAGATATCTTTACTGACTTCTAGTCTATTATCACCAAATACAATAAACTTCTACGCACTTCTACAAAGTCTACAAAATACTTCAAGTTTAACTACTGGCCTATCTGGCACTTACTTCTCAACGTTATCAAGGCTTTCAACATCCAACTCACCTTCCATAAAGTTTTAGCACACTCTGACAATCAGTTCAATAATGCTGCAGACGTGCTGGCCAAAAAACACCAACAACATACCTACACTCTTCAATTCAATCATACTAATATATACAATCCATATTCTATTATACAATAGTGCAAACACAATGTAGAGAAATCTACAAGGCAATTTGTCAAAACTATTGGCAGAGCACAAACTATAGCAATGTGGTCCTCCCAAAAATGCAATATAGAATGGGAAAGCCATATATCTACAATTGACTGGAACTCCACTTGGCGTTATATTAGCAATAACCAAAAAGCTACAACAAATATTACATAACAAAACTAAGCTATATAAAAGCCTTTAGAGTTAAAAATTTGCTCAGTAACCTACCCACCTACTCACACTTCCACCTTATTTCACCCAAAATCTACTATATTTCTACCTGCTTCTCATGCAGTAGCCCAGAATCAGCAACTCACTGGCTTACTTGCAACAATTCCCAAACTCTCAGTCAGATTGTATATATCTTAATTACAGAAATTATCACCAAACTGTTCACTAATGCACCACTTACACTACAAAAAGAGATCACAGATCTAATCAAATCTCATCCTTCATTTAACCACTCTCAGCACCCCTTCTCACAATTATACTCACTATCAATAACCCTAAAAGAGCTTATCTCCTCCCACCTATTACAAGCATTATTCGCGCTAGAGATACAATACAAAGAAGCCTCAAATATTATTATCCAAATACTATTATTTATATTCTCAGAGATATATAAACAAATTTGGAAACTATATTGTAAAAAATTTGCTAAATGAAAAAAAGAACACAAAATACCAACCTATAACCAAAACCTCTTTTTATGTTAACAGGCCCCTCATCAAACCCACCAATCACGCAAAAATTTCACATATAGCTGCCTATGTGGCTTGACAGACCAGCTCCATACTGACAATAATAGCTGCCCTCTCAAAGAGCAGGCTTAGCAGAAGTTTAACCAATGGTCTGAATTATAAATCCAATATAGTGTTCAAAGATAAGCCGGCTTATCACAACTTGCTGCGGCTTAATACGGCTTATTATGTGATAAATTCGAATTTATCACATGATATTTTCGCGATTATCACATGGCTTGGTGATAAATTTGAATTTATCACGTGATAAGCTGTATTAAGCTGCAGCAAGCCGTGATAAGCTAGCTTGTCTTTAAACACTAATCCAATATAGCATGTCCACAAATTATATATTAACTATTAATCTAGATGAATCTTGACCACTCTAGTAGGTTTAGGTCACAGATAATTAGTTTGAGTCTTTAGTTTTCTTTAGTCCAATCTTTTAGTCTGAGCTCTTATTCTTGCATGTAATTTATATCTATTTGTCTTGTACAAGTTGGGTTTTTATTATAATCACCTAAATAAATTACCAAATAAAGATATAAGCAAGGCCTCACCTTAATAACAAAAAAAAAAAAAAAAGATATTATGTTACTTACGTTAATAGAGAACATCTTCGGGTTCATATCTATAATAAATTATTTGTTTGTTGTGTATTATTAATATGAAAATTTATATACAATTTTAGAAAAAGAAAATTTTTATTTGAAATGTTCTTTAATTGAGCCTAAGCTAAGTGTGGACTAACTTCAAACTTGAGAGATTTAATTATTGTCTGGAATGATTTTGAAAGTAGTTTTGCTGAAATTTAGAGTCTCAATTTTAATCTATAATACCTACAAAAATATACATATACTTTTTTATTAACAACACTAATGCTAAACTCTAACTTAATCCTAAAAAAACCTTAATTAAAAGGCCCAAAAATTTTTAAAATTTCAGCACTATCCGATCTCAGCATTATCCCTGACAATAATAAAAGAATAATTTCTTTTATGCAAAAAGCTAATTCGTTTACATAATAATATATTTGTTTTTTGAAATACTAAGCTAATATCACAGTCAAAATTCTATATATGCTAGCTTTATAAATGCACACTTTCTATAATTGTACTTTATGCTTTAGTCACAACTAATAAAGATATTTAAAAAACTACTTTTTATAAATGAACACTATTTATAAATATATAATTATGGGGATATATGGTGAGTTGACCTATAATGCATCAGATAAATAATTAGGCTGTTTATTTTAGTGAGTGATGCAGTTAGAATTTCTAAGTAGAGGTCATATTAAATTTTCTTTAAATGCAAATTTAGAATTGGTCTTAAACCATATAAAGTTATAATAAATTTATATTCTTTAAATGTAGGTTCTCTTTAAGTTCAGTATTTTTTTTTTATTAAGAAAATTTTCTAAATTTTAGCAGCTGCACTTAGAGGGAGTCGATTGTATATAGAATTATATTATAAAAAATATAGATTGAAAGATAAATTTTGATCATAGTTGTATTGAATAAAATTAAAGTATATTTTTATTTAATTAAATTAAATTGTTACATCTAGAATCGATTGATTACTCTATTATATTTTAAAAATTAATTTTTAAGATTTTATTAATTAATTACAGAGGACAAAAAAGCTACTGTGTGAAACAGTGGTAAAAAAAAAGAAGAAATGAACAATGTTGAAAAGGTTGAATTATGCATAATTAGAAATACTGGTGTTAGTACATTGTGAAAAAATAATAAGTATGCGAATGACGTAATTATCACATAATCTAAATGTTTTCAGAATGTGCACAACAGTATACAAATTTTTAATTTGTCAAAAAACTGGAAAGCTAAGTGAAGAACATTAAATATTTGGCCAAGTATCTAACACAGTTGTTCTTTGTACACATTCTTCTATATGCTCTAGTTCTGCACAAAGTGCTGAAGACCGCCACATACTTAGAACTGATTTATCAAATAGTTGTAAGATTAGTAAATCATTTAATCTCTGTGATCTGGAAAGCATTACATATATACTATTATTTGCATGTTTTTCTGACAAATCGACAATTGTTTTTTGAAGAGTACGTCCTTGGGATTTAAAGTCTGTAAATGCATATATAGGTGTTAAAGGAAGTTGAAAGCATTGGAAATTTCTGCAAATTCTGAACCCATTGCATTTCCAAATTGTGTATATGCAGATATGCTTGATAGGGTAGATTGGTATATGTCTAGGTGGTAGTGTTTCATAAATTCCAGGTGCTTTACCAATTAACTCAATAATAACATATTTAGGAGGACTTTTTAGAACTATACTGTTTCCACATGAGAAAGATTCGTCAATTAAACTCTCGTCATACACTATCTGGCAAAAAATTTCAAGCAAGCCATTGGCCAGATTATCATTAGTACAGATGTTGACTGTTAAAATGACTCTTATATTTATCGATAAAGGTAAAATTCCAGAGAGAACATTCTCTTTGGTGTCAGATATTGAAAAAAATCTTAGACGGATATTTCTATCAAGTGTTTTTCTATTATAAGAGTCCTGTGCACAAGAATAAATAACAGACTGATTATTATTATAGGCATGTTCTTTAACTACTTCAAAATTAAGTTGGACGTGAAGATCATTTTGTGTTATGAGAAATGTGGCATTTCTTTATTCTTGATCGTAAGATAACTATCTGGATTTTGTCAGATTACTATGCTGCATATTTTTAAGTATGTATACATAAAATGGGTCATCTATTTGATGCATCTGAATTTTTAACTGTATAGCATGCTTAACATTTAACCAAAGACTTCTTCCAGTTGTGTTAGTAACAGTTCAAGAATTAATTGTCAACGGATTCACATCACGTTTTCGTTTAGTGTTTATTGAAGATTTAGGAAAAAAATATGTAATTTTATTAGACATGTATAATGCTTTGTCTAAAACAAGCGGTAACTGCATGAAATCACCAGCAAACAAAATGTTTACCCCAGCAAATGGAGTAGAGTCATTAGTTGCTTTTATTTTTTTTATAAAAGCATGAAATTTTGAAAGAAGCTTTTGACCAATCATGAAAATCTCGTCTATAATAATATATTCTATCTTAGACCAGTATTCTTGGAGCTGATATAGATGTTCATCTGATAAATCAGAATAAGCACCTCTATTTTTATCGAATCTGAATGCGCATGCAGAATGAATAGTATTCCCGCATATGTTAACTGCTACAATACCAGTAGGAGCCAAAACTAGAAGAGTATCACTTTGCAAAGTATGTTTAAAATATGAACATATTGCATGAATAACATGAGATTTACCGGTTCCACCTGTACCAGTGAGAAAAAGCAGTAATTGTGATAGTTTACTATTGGCAATTGATTATTTGTTTACAAAATAAGAAATAAGTTTTCTTTTGCTCATCGTTTAAAACAGTTGCAAATTGATCTAATAGATCTGCATTTTTTGTAATAGTAATATTTAAGGGAGTATTTTTATAATTATTATCCTGAAGTTTTGTATATGCATTTTTCAGTATATCATTTTTTTTTAAAATATAATTAACATTATCCTGTAATGTTATTTTTCTAGAGGAAATTGTATTCTGCCAAATTTTTAACAAATCATGCTTGAATGTATAGTTTCTGATTCAATATTATTGATAAAACCCATATTATTTTTATTTGGTGATGAAAGCTTATTTAGAGGAAATTCACTGCGAATTCATAAGAAGCTAATAGCAGAATCAACTAATTTATTATTTTTATACCAGATCTGATAACCGCTTCAGGATTGAATTTATGCATACTGCCATTTAAAACATTATCAATAGATAAATCATCATCTTCATCAAAAAGGTCTAATTCATTACAAGCATTAGAATAATAGATAAGTTGCTTTGATGTGTTGTCGTCATTGTTAGAGCCTTCACAGGTATTATTTCACCACCGTTGTTGAAGTCTTTTTTGGTAGGTTCGTCATTTTTAGCATTGTCATTAGAGCCTTCACAGGTATTATTTCGCCACTGTTGTTGAGTTCTTTGTTGGTAGGTTTTGTTATTTCTAGCATCATCATTCTTTGGGTTTTGGCTCTTTTCATATTGAGGCCAGAGGGAACTCTGTTGGAGGTTCATAGCAGTTCTAACATGCAAGTTGATTGTCAAATTCGGGTATAGATTATGTTTGAATTGCGAAATTTTTTGTGTGAGGATTTTTATTTTATATATATATATATATCTATATATTTTGCTAAGGCGAAGTTGATACTATGTATATGGATCTATGATATTATAATACTGTAATATTGTAATTGACCACATTATAATAAATTATTAATTAATTAAAGTATTTAAAAAAAATAAATTATGTAATTGACCATGTTATAATAAGTTATTAAAAAAAAAAGTATAATTATTATTTTTGTTTTTTGATTAGCTGCGCGGAATCTGGGCCAAGTTGATTTTCGAGATCGATTTTGATTGGTTGCACGTGATTGGGGCATGTAACCACTAATTACAAATAGATTCGCTCTTTAAAATATAAAGCAGTAAGAATGTTTTTGCTGCTTTGTAATTTTTAGAAATTTGATAGCCAATTACATATTATTATTCACATTTCTTGTTAACTTCCCGATAGGCCACTTTTTATTGAAATCCAATCAATTCACTGACAATTACCTCATAGACACCACATTTTACCACTAACAAGCTCATTTTACTGACAGCCTATTTTACTGAAGCTCATTTCAAAAAGTTCATCCTGTTAGTAAAAGAGCTTTAGTAAAATAGACTGTTGGTAATAATGAATAACTGTCATGAAATAATATTGATTTCTTTTTTATTTAGATTAATTTTAGTTATAATAAACAATATATACACCTCTAATTAATTTATTATCTGCACTTTTATTTAAGTCAATTTAGCCAATAGACAATGATTATTTTTTAATCAAAACATTGAAATATGTATTATAATAATATAATCTGTTTATTATTAATTTATTATTTGTGCTAATTTACTTAATTGACAAATCCCTTTTATTAAGTTGCTTATTAAGCTTCTTACTAAAACTAATCTAAGTATAAATTATATAGCCTTTTATATAGTTGTTAAATGAAACTTTGAAGTATGAAACGTGCCTAGTTTTATCTTTTTTTAATTAAAATTTTAAATATGAAACTGATGAAAGTGACAAAACTATAAAGAGTAGGTGACAAAGACAAATATACAAATAAATATTGCTGAAAATTATTGACTATGTATATAAAAAATAAACAAATAAAAAATTACAAAAATTTTTATTGTATAATAGACATTTGATTTGTTTAAAGGAAGTTAGAAATGAATATTCTATAATATATTATACTAGTACACTACATATCAGTTCTAGTGAGAAATCGCTTGGTGCTTACTTTGTAATCTTACAAATTTATTTTGTGCCAGTATGCTTTTAATTAGTTATTTGTGTTATTTTATGAATAAGGCTATTTCAACTAGTTTATAACAACTCTGGCATTGTCCAAAAGAATAAACTAGCTTATTTTTGCTGGCATATATGTAACTTCGGATATTGATCTCTGAATAAATTATGAAAATTAATTCAATGAAAATAACAATTTTTTTTTATAGGGGTCTCATCTTTTTGAGTATAAGATTTTATCATTTTAAGTTTAAGGCTTCATCTTTTATCAAAGAAATTTGGGGGTTTGATTTTTGTCTTTCATCATTATACAAAAAAGGTTTTGTCTAACAACTATAACTCTTTATGAATATACAATATAGAAAGCCAAATTGCCCTTACTTACACTTGTTTATTATATATAAAATTTTAGTAATTATTATAATTATGTTTTCATAATTTATTTTTATATACATTATCTTCAATAAAATTTATTTGCTTTATTATCTTCTATTAGTTTGGGCTGCTGTCAATAAAAATCAAGCAAATTTATATTTAAAAAAGAATTAATAACTTAAGTTTCACTGCACATATCTCGATGAATATTGAAGTTATTTTAAATGATTTAATATTCAAAAGGAAGTTTATCATCTATGCTTTATTTGAATATTAAAATATCAAGATAGCTTTAAAATTCACTGAGATATAAGCTATGAAATTTAAAGCATTAATTTTTTTTAAATGTGGATTTGCTTGATTTTTATTGATAGCAGTCTGTTTTGTTACTTTTGTAGTTTTGTTAATTTCTTTACCTTTTGTCACCTTTTGCTAGTTTTGACACCTTTTGCTAGTTTCAACACCTTTCATCAGTTTTGATACCTTTTAACAGTTTTGACATTTTGACATTTGAGATTTTAATTGATAAAAGTCAAAACTAGGTTTTGACTTTTGTTAGCATGAAACCTCGAGGTTTTATTTAAATTTTTGACAATCAGTAAGATTTAGTTCATAGCAAATATTAATTATTTTTGTAAAATCTTTATTCGATATTCTTGATTCATAAAAAAATTAAATAAAAAATATCTCTATTTACTGATGTATATTAGTATACAATATTCTAATTTGTACTAATACAACTTTGCATATTGTGTATATGTTGATACATACATATATACATACAAGAAGAATTCATAGCATTGTGTGCCTGAAGCTAAAAATTGTAACGTAGGATTATTTTATAGCATATTCAGCCAATTACTATCACAAAAATATAAAATCAAGTAATACTAATGATAACTTGTTGTTATAAAAAAACAGAGAGTTCTCCACTTTGCTTTGCCTATTTTTTTGATTTTCAAACCGATCTAATTCTGGTTAAATTTGCAGATTATTTGGTCTGGTTTATCAGGCTTAAAATTATAAGCCAGGGCCAAATAATCTGCAAATTTGACCAGAATTAAATTGTTTTGAAAAATATAACAAAAAAATCAGCTACTACTTACAATAACGACAAAGAAAAAATACTTCAATAACTTTCTAATTATTTTTCAAGGTTAAGCAAAAAAGTATTTATCTTTATTTTCTATACTTTACATTATGTATAACTAATATACACAATATTTAACTACAACTCTAATTATATGTGATTATATGTTACTAATTATTCTCTGATTTATTTCAAACTTCCACTAATAAACTAATTCGATCATGATATATCTAAAAACTTATAAATAATACTATAATTATCAATATATAATTTTTTCTATATCTTTCAATTATTCTTAAATAATACTATTGCTTAAGTTCACATCTACATAATTCAAAGTTCCTCATTTAGAAATTTTGATTATTGTTCTAACTACATCCTTGTTATAAAATTGATTAATTAACAGCTTTTTTAAAGGTGTATCATAACAGTTATTAAGAAAAAATTTGATATACAAATCTAAATCTTGATTCTTCCAATAATATTATTACTAAAGTGAGAAATTCAAGTTTTTATAAACTGCCACTGAGCTCTAGTAGTTGTCTATTTTTAAAAGTTAAGATATATAATATTTGGACAGAAGGATTTAATTGATTCAAGTAATAATAGTTGTAGCCATAGTTTATTATTTCGTGAATTAAGTTGTAGTCATTGTAGTAATGAGCCATGCTTGACACCTCAATTGGATAATTAGTAATCTCTAAAGTGTTGATTTTATAGAAGATTGTATTCAATACTTTCAATAGATCTTTTTCTCACAATATATAAATAAAAGATCTCTAAATTTTTACACTTTTGAACTCTGTACTATAATTACAATGATCTATATATTTCAATTTTATATAATAATTTTTTTGACTTTCTAAGCCAAAATGATACTATAAAATTTTGCAGAAAATTCATTTATTTAAATCTTTTAAGCTGTTCTTGTAATTTAATAATGTATATAATTTCATAGCTAGTTGTGGCTCATAACATTTAAAGTTTTCAATTGACAATATTCTTAATAATGCAATAGTATTCTCAATAGAAAATTTTGATATTACACTCATGACAAATATTGAAGTCCTGAAATAAATCTCTAATACCGCAATAAGTAAAAAATCTCTGGTTTAATTTTAATAATAAATTATGCAATATGGCTTCACTTTTAATAAATAATTTGTATAATAAATTGACTATATAATATTTTAATATGTTTTAATATTGTTTCAAATCAACAATTTGAAGATTGTTCTATTATTTGTTTTCTAGATGAGATAAATCAATAAATTTCAAAAATCTTGTATAATTAAATAATATATTAGAAAATTTTGCATTTATTTTCTATTCTTTCAAAATAGACTTTTTATCCTCATCAAGAGATAACAAGTATTTAAATATAAATAATAGCTTTTGATCAAATGAAAATAGATCTTGCCAAAGAGTAAGAATTGACATTTTATACTAATATTAGTTTACAAGTATACAAGAATATAATTTTTTTTTTATAAATTCAGTAGTTATGCAAAACTTTATTAGGCCTAAATTAACAAACTATACTTTCAACTAATTTTATCTAAACAATTGCCTTAAACACCTAAGTTACAAGTTTTGGTTAACCCGGTTGTATCAGATATGTATCTATGTTCGACCTACTATAGTAGAATTTTATCTCTCTACTCATTTCTTCTACTACTGAAGAAAATAAATAAATCACTAAATAGCATTTACAGACATGTCATGACTGCTAATTTCTTTAAGACTCTTCTTTTCTTAATATTCTAGCAAAAGGATTCCATAATCCTTGCCTAAAGAATGACAAGTATAAAAAAACTAAACTAAAAAAAGGACAGTAAAAACAAGTAGGAAATACTACAAAATCTAAACGTAATCCAAATTTACATATCAACGAAATAATAATTCAAAAGACAAAACCCAAATTATTTTTATTCGAAGACAAAATTAAATTAAAGAACCTGAAATAGACATCGAAACCTGAAATAGACCTGGAATTAAAATAAACTCGAAAACAAAAAAAAACAAAAAAACTGGCAATTATACTTCTTGTAAATAGGATAAATCAATCGTTCAATAAATTACCAAGGTGAGTTTGATTCATCTTAACGACTGTGTTTCAAGAGAACATGTGATTAACTATAATCTTTTAATCATTCTATAAATTATCAGGGTGAGTACAAAGTTTAACCTGTTTCACTTTAATGATTGTGTTTCAAGAGAATGTATAATTAACTGTAATTATTCAATCAT